CCTCTCTTACCCAGACTCTTGCAAATAATCATTTTTGCAGAGGTTGAAAGGACTTTTGGACGCCCTGAGCGAGCCTTTGATTGGAGGCTTTCTCCAGCCTTGTGGCGTTTCCACCAACGATTCACACTTGCTGGGTGAACTCCAAGAATCCTAGCTACCTCCCTCTGGGACTTTCCTGCCTCAACCATTCCAACGGCTTTAGCCCGGACCTCCAACGGCAGCTCGCAGACCTTCATATTGTTAGATGTTGATACCAAACAAAAGCTGCTTCGTACATAAGCTACGCAGTGGATGCACGCTACTTGCATAGGCTACACCATGCTAACTGGTTTGTCGGAGTATTCCTAAGTTATTTAAATGACTGTAGGAAACACAAATTAAGGGCAACAAACCATGAGTGTAATCCGCTTGTGTTGCAATACTTTTGACCCATACTGTATATACTTACATCATTGAGCACTGAAGGTAAAACCAGTGGCGTATTTTGACTGAGGGGTCAGGGGGGACAGGGCAACAGCACGGGGGCACCATACCCTACCTTAGCGATATCAGGTGGGGAAATTACATTACCTCCAAGGGGCACCAAGCCCTGTCCCAGGGGCACCAGGAGGGGTGGCTGCCCCCTCCCTGCCCCTGTAAAATTCACCACTGGGTACAACCATTGCAAGTTTTTTGCATGAAGGGCATACAAACTCACCAGTTTATCTCCATGTAGTGGTAGACAATGCAGAGTATGGGGAAAAAAAGACTCCTAATATTCAGTAAAAAAATCACTGCCCTTTCAGTTACTATTTTCTTTTACATATTTCATTGGAAGATATGTTCCCAAAAGACTTTTGTGAAGATAAGACAAAGCAATCCTGTGAGCAGTTATAGAAAAAAATGGCATATTGAAAATGCACAGGAGCTGAGTTGAGTTTAAAGTTTACTTTGTTCTCATTAAATTTTTACTGGAAGTGAATGTTTACCATAAATTCTCTTTCAGGGATGCCAAATAAACAGGACACTATGTGCATATCTTAAAAAGTTTAGTGGTGACTTTGCAATCCTGGAAAATGAGATATCCTGAAGGTTCCTCAGTGTGTTAAATCATATTTAAATTAATTTAAACACTAAAAGTATCTGGTAATAATGAAATGAGCAGCTAATAATGGTCAAATAATCATTTCATTTCTACTCTTGAATTAATGGTGAGTGTACATCATTTCCATCTCCAAGACAATAGTGAAAAAATGGAAGTCTCAAAAATAAGATTCAAATTAAACTGTTAGTCAACAGTTGTCATAAAACTCGAGGTATGTAATTATGATGATACTGATCATGATATTTCATATTTAGCACAGATGTCAGAGTGTGGTGAGCTAAACTCACGTTTATCACTGAAGTCATCAACTAGAAGGACCTCTTCAAGAAACTGTGGTGGAGAGCGATTGAGAACAGAATGCACTGTCCTCAGTAATGTGGACCAACCTTCATTGTGGAACACTATCACAACACTAGTCTTGGGCAGGTCCTCTGGGTAGTCCCAGTGTTTGCATCTAATGGATAAAGAAACAGAATCTTAGAAGTCTAATTCAGAACATTGAAAGATGCTGTAATTCCTTACTCTGGATTACGCATGTCAGGCACAGCACGATCCAGAGAAATCTCATCTGACACAATAAGGTTGATCCCATATTCCATGAAGATATTCCGGGCTTCATTTTGTTTCTCTGGTCCAACATAATGGGGCTTCCCATTTTGACCAGGTCCTGTTCTTTCTTCTGTCTCCTTTGGCTCAAAGTTTCCCAACTTCTCAAACACAAATACTGGCTCTAATATCTACAGAAAGGGGACAAGAACATCATAATGCAAAATGATACTTGGAATTTACAAATGTTGATTAGATATGATGTTTCCCCAATAAATGTATTTCTTTTTCATGGAACTCTCCACAATTCCCTTTCCCACAGTAAGCAAACTGTGCATTTAAAGTTTGAAACAAAAAGTCAGTTTTGAGGGAGAAGCCTACCAAAAAGTGAACACAGACTGTATCTTGCCAATATTTGGCTACATAGAAAGTTTTTCAGCATAAAGGCAAATTTTTTTTTGATACCTATATGGAAAGATCCTATATGGTAGTTATATGCAATTATCTGTGCCATAAAAATTCATATATTTTTCATGCATTGAAATATGAACACATGTATCTGAGGGCATATATGGTTGAAGCATATGATTCATGTAAGGATTACACATATATTAAACATACCTGGGCAGCATATATATTCTATATAAAATAATTCTGCAGTTTGAGGGTTGGGTTCCTGCATATATGATGATGTACCTGGTTTAAGTGTATAATTTTTATAAAGGACTTTCATATATTGTATATACATGTTCAGCATGCAAGCTTTCACAACAAAATATATTGCTAATATGACTCATTAACTCATAAAACACAATATCTTCCTCCAGGGGAGGATTTGGCAAATTCTTAACAAAAATCATTAACAAGATCCTTCCTGTAACCCCACCAATTTTGCATCTAAAGTGTTTAATTGATCTGCAATTAGAAGAGCTGAGATCCTCCCTAATACAGATGCCTAACTTGTTTCTGGCATAAAACACGCCTCCACCCTTTTTTCCGAACAATATTTATGCGGCAAGTCAAATCCCTGGATTTGAATTTTTTATCAGTGATGTCAGAGGTCCCCCAAGTCTCAGTTATTCCCAGAGCTGGGCAAAATACAAGTGATTAAGTATTTCAATACAAAATATAAAAACAGCCCAATAATATTATTTTAAATACAAAATATGTATTTTAATATACAATTGAAAATACAAATTTTAAAAATTTTCTCAAGCTTACATCATGCCTTTCAGAATTAGTCCAAAATCAGGAATCCTTCAGAAGTTCTAACCATTCCCAGCCAGACCAGTTCAGACCTTCACAGCACATAGCCTAAGCATGGCATTCTTTATTTTGCTTTCTGAATCCCAGACTGCTCCCCCTTATACCATTTATAATCCTCAACAAGATCTGAATGCAGTCTCTGAAAGCAAAGAACAGAAATATTAACCTGCAATGGCAAGATTCAGGCTTGCACAAGGCCTAGGTCTAAAGATGGTCAATATATCACTTATCAAAAACATTGCTTGCGCCAAGGACAAGGTTAGCATATTCACATCAAGATATGCAACATAATCAACCTTCAAATGTATGAAGAAATTGGATGGTGCAGCTAGAGTTCCACAATTCAGTCTCTGTAGATCATGCTGCACATTAGATCTTAATGCTCAACCCCTCTAGTTCAACAATACTGAAGAACTTCCCATCCAATAAATAAGGCAAGCCTTCTGAGGTAGCCATGTTTGAAGCTGCCCTGAACCAATTAAAAAGTAACATATTTTGTCAAATTTATTTCAAAATAAATTGTTTGCAGAGAACTGTATTTCAAATATAAAATATAAATACATATTGTGATATGTATTTAAATACAAAATACCTGAAATGTTTTGAAATACATATTTTAAAATACAATCTACAGGGTAGGTCACTAAATGATATGGTTTTTCTTTTTTCATATGTTGACTCCCAGTAAAGACAGCTGCATAACCGGTGACTGGGAACTGCAATAGGACCTGGAAAAACTGTCGCGTGTATGTTTCGACATAAAGGTTTAGGAATATCTGACACTGCAGCAAAAGAATAAAATTATGCTGATATATGCGACGGTGAAAAGCGTGACTGTTTCGCAGACACTTCAAAGGTGGCGACCGCCCGACCAAAACGAGCCATTTTGGTGGGTGCTACAAGAACCAAGTCATTCCGGTATTAGTTTTACACAAAGGGTAGAAGTGTTTTTGGAATGCCCATCATCTCATCGCCCCCAAAACACCTCTTTTCCTTCAATGAAGTGAATCCTTCGTCACAAGCTCCATCGGAAGAGGGGTATCCCCGAGTTGGCCGCGCTGCTGCGCCAAGCATAACACTGGGTTTTTCCGTCCTATAATCAAGCAAGCACTTATAGCAACAACTCACAAAGCCTTTTCTTTCTTCATCACCTGTTGTTTCACTCAACCTATTTTGCTCCTGCCACATACAGGTGCTTCACATCGCAATTTCTTCGCTGGTGTTACGAGCGGATTCATATCCTTCTGCGTACCCCCCCTCCCCCATCCCCCCCTTTTGCCTCCCTTTCACCGGTTTTCCATCATGATCGCAACCGCACCTGCTACATCTAATGTATGTGGCACACTTTGCCACCTTGCATCGGCATGTAAGTTTGGTGCTGGACTGAGCTTCTGCGCTCATCGTTGTTGGTTGTTCGGTCAAAAAAAGGAAACGAGCTGGAGCGCTAGAAAAGAGGGGGGGGGGGAGAGAACTCGGGAGAAACACAGGTACAAGCAAGGAAGAAGAGCAGCGTCATTCAGAAGAATTCAGCAATTTCCCCGGTTTACAACAATGATGTAACTCCCAATAGAGGTCCGGCCATTTCAGTTTTTTCGTGGTTTTTTTTGTGGTAGACCTCACCCTTTTCTCCTTCATATCTTTGTCTACAAAAGGAGATGGCTATAACTGAGGGTACTGGAGGAAGCCCCACTTCCCCAGCTTCTTCCACATCTGCATGGAATAGGGGTTGTAGTAATACGTGGCTCATTGGCTCAGGTGCTCGGGCGCACGCGGGAGGTCCAGGTTCGAATCCGACTGGCGGCAGGCGGTATTCTCCTGGGCCGACAGTTCATCCGGCTGCTTTCGGGTACTACCTGCTCTCCCTTGGGCTGAAGCATAGGCCACTCTGTGCTCCATTGTGTGAGAGGTAGGGGCTTGGTGCACCTCAATAGCACCCGCCATGTTATTGAGCTATTGATTATTCGGCCGATGTGCAGCGATGGAGGGCCTATAGCCGGAGCGGCATCGAAGTTGCCACCACCTTCCCCGGACCCGTGAAAACGGGATACATTATGACAGGAAGCGTGGGAAGGTGGGGCAATGCCGTCAGGGATGTCCGATTAGAATTCCCTTTCCTCTACTCTATGTTGCCGCCTGTGGCATTTGTCCATGTCTGTTTATGTCCGTCCCAGTCCACGTTTTAAAATAAAAAAAGGGGTTGTAGTAATGCCAGAATGGGTTGGTCTCTACCCCTTGGTAACTGGTCTCATTGACTCAGAAACCGGGTGTTAAAAAAAAAATCATTTTGAATTTACTTTCTGTAATTTTTTCCTGTTTTGATCTTGGAGAAACCCGATTGCTCGAAAAAGTCCATATATGAGATCGTCGGAGAAGATGAAAATGTGAGTCAATCGTGCACAGCGAAGTATCTGGCTTAGAATTTCTGGGGCACAGTGGAAGTTTGAAAAACGCTGCATGCAAGGATGCTGCAAGCATCAAAAAGAGATTAGTTTGATGTATTGAATTCTTGGAAAGGTCTGAACTCTTTGAAGCCCCTCAGATATCGTTTTGGTAGAAACAGATTGCTGCAGTCCAGAAAATCACTAAGTTAATTTTAGATCTGAGAGGACTGGGAAAAGCAGCTATGAAAACCCTGTAAAAACTTTTTGCGTAAATGAAAAGGAAGCACAATGACAAGTTCTTGATGACATGCAGGCTGAACCAAGACGTCTTGGAGCAATTCTTTTACAAAGTAGAATAAATTGGTCATGCTCGCAAAAATCCGTCCGCGGTTGAATTCGAGTATCGAATGAGACTAAATGAAGCTGTAGCGGAGGGAACAAATATTCCCTGGCACCTCTCAAAAAGTCCATGATGGTGTAAGGGAACTGAGTCAGCTTCAGATGCAAAGCTCAAGAGAGGCCAGGCCGTTGGAGGGGCATGGACAGACTTACGACTGAAATATTTATCGCAGTATCTCTCTTCCAAAATTTAATCGAAACGTGTGAAGATGCAGAATGTGCTTCAGATGATTTTGTGTCCCTAACGAGAAACTACTCCAAAGACTCTAGAGTTCAGGTATTATATCTCGAGAGGGATTGAAATACCTAGCCGGCTATCTGGCCCTTATATTCAAAGTGAAGTATCCTGATCGAGATACGAGAGAGCCATTTTCTGAGGGAAGCAACTAGATAAACTCCGTTTTACGAGGGGATCTAAAAAGGCCAAGGGAGGAATTGTTTAATCAACGTCTGTCCTTGGGACTAATGCTCAACGAATTTCATGGGTATGATAACACTTTGATAACAGGGATGAAGGGTGTCGTGTAAGAGTTAGCTAATCTCATGAAGGAAGAAGTGTCAGCCCTGCTCCAGGCCATGCGCGCTTTTGTGCGATGTCGCACATTCTTAGGATTTCGCAAATGTGAATTAGAGAGCAGAGACACACCCAAAGTGATTAATCGAAGAATGGGCGGATTGGAAAGAAATATTCATTGAAAGTAACCAGAATTGGATGTTCTTGAATACATCGTTTGTTCTTCCAGCCTGATTTGAATGACTTCATTCTAAAAATATTGACCCGTAACAAATGAAGTAGGAAATGTAGCGATTGCTAGAAGCGCGGCAAAGTTGTTAGGGGCGAGGAAAATGTTTTCGCCCTTGATCTATTTAATCCGCTAGCAGACGACGCTGCACTCTTTTGAACTGCGTGACGTCATGCGCAGAGAGGGCTCGAAACTCGATCGGCTGTCGAGCAGGCCTGTCTAGTCTACGATCTCGACTCAGTGGCTGTCCTCTGCGCGTAAGCTCTTGCACACCCTATCTACAGTCCAAATAATAATAATAATAATAAAAACTGAATCTCCTTCTTAATTGCCAACCCGACTTCCCTGACACCCTCCTTCGATAAATGGGCACTATCCCTTGCCATCGGACCTATGCATCGG